TAATATCGAACAGCTAGCAAAGAAGGGAAAGGTGTTACTAGATCTGCCATATGCGGTGAAAGGAATGGACTGTTCGTTCTCTGGAATCTTGGCAAGCATCGATATACTCGCGGCGGAACTCAAGGCGAACCCAGAGCAAAAAGACCCGATCATTGGAGAAGTTATCACCACGTCAGATTTGTGTTTCAGCCTGCAGGAAACTGTGTATGCGATGCTGGTGGAGATCACAGAACGAGCTATGGCTCATGTAGGGAGCAACCAAGTCCTCATCGTGGGAGGCGTGGGTTGTAATGAGAGATTACAAGAAATGATGGGGTTGATGGCAAGAGATAGGGGAGGAAGCGTTTTCGCAACCGACGAACGTTTTTGCATTGATAATGGTATAATGATAGCACAGGCTGGACTGCTGGCGTACGAAACTGGCTTCAAGACCCCATTGGAAGAGAGCACATGTACTCAGAGGTTCAGAACGGATCAGGTCTTCGTCAAATGGAGAGATTGAATAATATAAAGAACTTAATCCTGTCATCTCAAGAGGGGCTGCACAGACTTGCAAATCGCTGCTCCTACTCTGATTAGAATCCATCATCGGAGTCATCATCTTCTTCAATTATGATCTGCGCCGATAGCCCGTGCTCGTCCTTCTTTCTGCCTCTATCCTTTTCCAGCCATCCGGAATATCTCTTCTCTACGGAAGAGTCGACCTTCCATTTCAATGGATCCGGTTTCGAGTTTCTCTTCTTATGTTCTCGTGCGGCGCGTATGGATTCCACAGAACGACCCGTGTCTTCAGGGCATGATGTCAACTTGAACAGCGATGCGAGTATGCTCGAGAGAACTCGTAACAACGACCCTGTGATCAAGCCGATGACGATTGCAGACCCTAAGAATATGATGATGATCTAATTACTGTTAGCTGCAATCCATCAATTTGTCATTGCATTAAGCTTGCCTCGAACTTCGCCATCACTTTCAGAGGAAGAAGCATAGCAGAAACCAAAGAGTTTCCCAGATGTAGCAGTGGGGCCAGAGCAATCCTAAGTATAGCCAATAGCCAGTTGGAAATAACAATAATTGGCAAGGAAATATAATAAAAAGTGATTCCTATAATCGAAAGCCATGTTGTATTTGAGGATTCCATCATGGATAATGAATGAGTTGTCTGTCTGAAATGACAGGAAGACGCAAGGCTGACAGATAAGATCCGTTTTGCACCAATGTTGTATGATCTAATGCTTAAGGACTCGTAGAACTTGGAATATTTTTGATAATTCTCATGATTTGAGCCTTCACGGAACCGTTTTTTCTATAAATGAGTGCTGATATTGATGTCTGATAAAATAGGACTACAAGCATTTAGGTAATCCTACTACTCCCTCTGTACTGATGTGTGATGAAAGAAAGAACAGAAGAATGGAACAATAGAAGAATGAAAGAAGCTTTAATGAAGGCACAGACCAGGTCAGCTACTGTAAGAGTGTAACAAGGATTCAAAGCATCGTCGCAATTTTTGTGGGTTGTCCTTCAATAAAGCTGATTGTGGGGTTGGAGGAACAAACCTTAAGGAAGGAATCAACTTCCAAGGTTCACTCCAGAATCTTTTCCACGAAAGAACAACCCCAATTTTTCTTATTGTATTTAAAATCTCAAGTTCGAATTTGATTATTTCTAAGATACCCCTTAACAAGTACAGGTCATCCAGATTTGTGGAACAATATATTCATTTCAAATCATAATCAAAAAATACTTATTTACAACTCATGAGATAGCTTTGCTCCACAGGCCGCCGTCCCCCCCCGTCCCTCTGCCTTTCTTTCCTTTAAAGGGCTTCCACCTCCCGGAAAGGAATAATTTCTTGAGTGCGTTGGTTAGAATCACACGACCACTTTCATAATGGGAAATACACCCTCTGCTAACACGAGGCTAACTGCTTCGACACCGCATTCGCATTCTCCCGCACCTTCGAGCCATAGTAATGACTCATCAAGAACATCCTCAGCTCGCAGAGATCCACGGAATTTGATACACGCGCATAGGACTGCTGCGAGAGCAGAACCTTCTCTTGCACAGGCTCACGGATCGAATGTCACACACCGCCCGCGCAACTCTCAATCACACCCTGCTGCACAATTCAATAATTCTTTGCCGAATTCCGGAGTCAATACACCATCGGCGCATGACAGAGAGCCACAAGCAGGTGTGCAATCACATAGACATGAACCAGAGACAGAAAAGATCGCTGTGAGGGATCAGCCAACCAAGCCAGTTGATGTTCCCATGCCATCCTCCAATTACGACACTGTAACATCCAGATCCCATTCCCATTCCCTACCGAGCCCCCAAGCCACATCTGTCGACCATTCTGGTCCCCCCGTTCAAGATATGTCGTATCATCTTTCGCGACCTCCGAGACTTCCACTTCCAATTGAGGAGGAAGTGCACACACCAGGGTCGCCTCTAGTCACACCGGCTGATTCGATCGCCCCAGCTATGGATATAGATGCTCTGGACAATGAACCGCCACTTGCAAGACGGAACTCGACGCTAAGTAGCACGACGATAGATGAAGAGGACGCCGAGGAAATTCAAATCGATCGGACCAAGGCAACGGTACCAACCCTATTCGAGTGGAGAGAAGGCGGAGAGAAAGTTTATGTAACTGGAACCATATTTCAGTGGAATAAAAAGCAAAGATTGAGTGCAGTGTGAGTTCTAGTCGTTCTACTGAAACCCTTGGACTCCAATGTTTTGACAGTTCACTAATATTTCCTAGAGAAGGAGAGCCGGGACTTTTGAAGGCGATAATTCATGTACGCCCTGGAACTCACCACGTTCGATTTATTCAAGATGGCATCATGAAATGCTCAGCACTTCTTCCAACCACCGTCGATTTCGGCAACAATCTAGTCAATTACATCGAAGTCAGCGCCGATGACCTGCCTAACGATGAGGGCTCTGTAAATATACCTAGCGAACCAATTGGTGGTTCAGAAACCAAGCCTGAAATCACCCAGCCCGAGCCAGTACCTGCAGAAGAGAGGACGAAACCGAAGCCAGTCTCCAAGATGAAGCGCGCAATCTCCCAGAGTCAATTCACTTCAGAAATTCCACAATACCTCATAGATATGGACAAACCCGAAGACTCCAGGGAATACAGATACGCAATTGCTGCTATAGACAAATTGCCTCCTCCACCTACTCTCCCAGGGTTTTTGGGAAAACCTATCTTGAATGCCAATGCACCAATGAAGGATGATAATAGTGTTCTCATCATGCCTAACCATACTGTTCTCAATCATCTAGCTACGAGCAGCATTAAGAACAATGTTCTTGCTGTTTCTGCCACTACGAGATATAAGCGAAAGGTACGGGAGCGTCTTTACCAATTAATATTATGTACTAATTCGCAATGCAGTATGTCACAACAATCATGTATAAGCCTACAGCGGAGGAATAAGAATAAGAATAAGAAACAACAATGCGAGATGTTATAGTCTATGAATAGTGAACCTGGTGGACCTGGATATCAACGAAACTCATACCTACATCGAGTAAGTATTAATTTAGCAGATCAGCTTGCTTCACATGATTTCTCGATGGGAAACTACATGCAGAATATTTCAATGAAGAAGATTAACCACAAATAATGACCTAATTATTATCACAATGTTTAAATTATGCCAATATCAATAACATTATAAATTCAGTACACGATTCACTTGGAGGCTCATTAGACTTCATTAAAGCGCAGTCGAAGCCACTTCCTAGTACTCCCGCAGGAATCCCACCAACCCCTTATCTATTTTAAGCTTCTGTACCCATCCGATCTCCTCTCCCCGCCAATTGCACGTGCCGATAAGCCCCCGCCTTCTGCGATAAGATTTTTTTTTCCTTCAAAAAGTTGATGCCAAGAGAAAAGTAGTACCGCGGAGGTGTCACAAGCTTTCCCCAAATTTCCAGCGCAAACATCATCAAGTCGCATTCTGCACAATTTGAAATACGAGACTCTGTCACAAATACCTTGAAACTAAATCTTTCAAGACTGAAGGTCACATCACTCCGTTTCTTCGAATATCTTCTCGGATACCTGCTAGCGAAACTTAAGTAGTCCTGAAGCTCTCAAGTTCGAACACATCCGAGTTCGCAATTTCACAAGCTCGCCATTATGCGCACGCAGCCAAATATTATAATAACAGGCACGCCTGGTGTAGGAAAAACTACTCATTGCGAACAATTGGCTGAGAGTACCGGATTGAAACATTTGAGTGTCAATGATGTGGTTAAGGAGAAGGGATGCCATGAGGGCTGGGATGATGAATTGAAGACTTGGATTGTGGACGAGGACAAGGTTTGTCTTGGGTTCCTTTGCAAGTTTGACGTGGGATATATTCTAATAGATTATTGAGACTTCGCCGGGAGTTTTGGCTAATTGATTGGGAATCTATAGTTATTGGATGAAATAGAAGAAGATGTTAAGCAAGGTGGATATATCATCGATTGGCATGCTTGCGAACTATTTCCGAAAAGTTGGATTGATTTGGTCGTTGTGCTGAGGGTGGATTCGACGCTGTTGTATGATCGGCTGAAGGCGAGGTATGTTTCCTCTAAGTTTGGGCGGAGGGAGACTGCATCTACAACTGCATCAAAGATGGGAAGCTATGATCGAGAAAGCTGACTCTCATCGAAACATAGAAATTATCCAGAAGCCAAACTACAAGAGAATTTAGATGCGGAAATCATGGAGGTTCTACTTGATGAAGCGAGAGAGAGTTATGATGAGGAGATTGTGGTGGAGCTGCGGAGTGATACAAGTGATGAGGTGGAGAGTAATGTGGAGAGGGTTGAGGCATGGGTCAAACAATGGAAGAAGGATCACGCGGAGGACGAGCAGTGATATTTTTTAGGCATGGGCTATAGTTGCGCAGTCCCTGAAGTTTTTTTGAGCTTCAGAGAGCATTATCTATCTGCCACTCCATTCCTTGTCCTCCGTTTATTGGACTCTATGCTTCTTCTTGCAGCCATGTCTTTAATTTCTCGAGTGCTCGGAAACGATGAGAGATTTTGTTCTTCTCAACTTTCTCCATCTCGGCGTATCTAAAAAGGGACGGGGTCAATATCTATGTGATATCGTGGAATGAAAACACAAAATGCAATAGGAAGGAGTTCTTACGTTTGACCTTCATACTCGAAAATAGGATCCCAGCCTACGAATCAAGGAATATTAGCAAAAAGAGGTCTTTTTAGTGGTATAGTAGAACATACCAAATGCAGCTGGACCTCTTGCAGGTACGATCTTGCCCTAGGAAGTGTTAGAGCCATATGACGGCACGCAGGAATATTGGGATATACTTACGTCCGTTCTTCCTTGAAAGATAATAGGTTCATGACCTGGGCCTTCAGAATAGGCAAATGTACATATTGCTTGTGCAGATTTATCTGAAAAGCCAGCAAGCATATTGTTCAGTCCATCATGGCCTATTTTATCCATAAACCATTTACTGCCTATCATTAGTGACCAGAACACTCTCAATGTGATTCTTGACCGAGAAATCTTACATATATGGACCAGGCAATTCCTTCAATGCATTGAAACATAAACATGTATCCTCAACTAGTACTGGACCTTGAATCTAAATGTGATATTAGTAACACTACAAAAGCTGGGGAATATGAAAACAAACAATTTCAGCAGCTCTGCGACATTTGTCACTGGAGACTTCCTCAATTGTCCCTTGGATCTCAACGAGGTCGAGAGATTGACTTTGGAGATCAATGGTATCACCCAAAATAGCTTTCACCTCGATAAGTTTGTTTTTGTTGCCGGTGATGAAATTGAGGGTTGTGGGAGGAGCCATGATGAATGGAGATGTAAAGATTTTCCTTATGCAGGAAAGGGCAATTATTGATGAGTGAGAGTGTGGGAGTTGAGGTTCAAGAAGAGAAGCAAAAAAATAAAATACCAGACTTTTTAAAAAAAAAGTTGTGACTTTAAATTCATATTCTTGTATTGTATTGTGATATACGCGGAGCTTCGACTCATCCGGTCGAAAAGTAGTGCAATTGCATTGGCGAATATGGATCGTGCAATCCCAGCACCACCACACCACATCCACAAAAACTGTTGGCGGCATCGATAGACTTCAACAACCACACGGAAAAATCCTAGCTACTCAGTAAGGTAATGATTGTATTACTCAATTAATCTCATCTTGCAACAATAGTTTATCTTCCATCATGGACGATTTCTACCAGCCCCTCACGAATTCCACCGATGCCATCGACGCCTCGAGATCCGGAGGCGTGCTTACAAATGCCCTCACAATTATTCGTTCGGTGCCGTTGCCTATTGTTCTTAGTATCGCTTTAGCACCGGCCCTTCTGGTGATAGCAACTAGACTACTGAGCGAGAGGCCGTCGGAAGAGCAGAAGGGGAAGGATGGAAAAACGGTTTGGATGCCGGCTTATTGGGTGCCAGGGTTAGGACATGTGGTTGCATTGTACGTCTCACGTGTCATATAGGGGTAGTGGAATTTCGAGACTGATGAAAAGATAGTTTGACGAATGGAGAGAAGTTGGCTTGCGAATTAAGGTACTTAGAATCCTGGATTCTGGCTGTATAACGTAGATGCTGACGAGTGTATAGAGACCAAAGTGCCCATGGTGAGTTCGGCCCAAGACGTTTCCCGAAGCGGAAACTTTTTCTATTTGGACGCCCTTGGACCCCAGAATTCATATTTGAGAACACTGCAATGCAATACTTAAACGTCAAATAAGTGCTAATACATTTAGCTAGGCATATTTGCGCTTAATCTCGGAGGCTCTACCCATAATATCAGTAAGTCGCTTGCATTTCCCGAGTAGCTACACAAAAACTGATCAATATAGTCTCAAATCCAAACTTGGTAAAGGCGTAAGTATATGAGTGAGGAAATATTCATATCCACGATCACTAAAATTGTATTAGAGTACTACAGAAAAGGGAATCGGATGTTGCGTTTAAAACGGTTGCGTTAAATCTATCAACAAAGGTAGGTAATTTATTGCCACGAATTCCAAACCCATGAATTGACATAGCTTCTTGTGTTGCTAACAAATATCTTAGTTTTTTGGACTACCCAAAAAGGCAGAGAAGGTGTATTTGGACAACTGGGAGGTAAGACTAACTCATCTTGATTAATACACCAAGCTAAATCTTGTCACAAGGAATACACATCTATTTTCACGTATCTCATGAAAGAACCATATCTTAGTAGCATGCTGGGCAAAACCTTGCGCAACCTAGAACGCCTAATTCCACAAATGGTTTCATTCATGGAAAGTGAGATAGATCAACATCCGTGGGAGAAATGGGCCAATGCTGAGTACATTTCAAACAACGAAATGGAGGTTGATCTTATGGCCTTGGTACGAGATATACTTGGGCACGCTTCCGTACCATCTCTTTTCGGCCGTGAATTTCTGGATAATAATCCACATGTCCTGCATGATATTTATGAGATGGATCGTGGCATGATGTATTTCATCATGGGCCTTCCATGGTTTACTCCTTGGCCTGCTGTTGCTAGAGCTCATTATTCTCGCTCCCAAATTCAACAAAGTATGACCAGATTTCAAGAGGCTCTTGATGCTTCGGTAGATGGAAAGCAAATGGACTCCTCATGGGGTGATTTAGACGACGTTAGCGAGTTCATCCTGAAGAGACATGAACTGTTTAGAAGTAAGATTCCAGAATAGTTTGGTTTTACAGCAACTGACATTATGGTAGAACATGGCCTCAAACCGAATGAGCGCGGAGATATATCTGTAAGTTCGCATCTCTCCCATCTCTTAGCCCACTATCTAACATTAGTATTAGATTATCTGGGCTCTCCTAGTAAACTCCACCCTTATCGTCTACTGGCACCTCCTCTACATCCTTTCCACCCCCGGACTTGCCGATAAAATCCGCGACGAAATCTCCCCCTATGCAACTGTCACTCCTGGCGAGAAAATCGGCTCCTTCTCAGAAGCTCCACACATTCACCTCTCCCACGAAGACCTGTCCAAGAAATGTCCGCTTTTCAAATCCACCTATCTAGAAGCCTCGCGATTATGTTCCCAACCCGTATCTCTCCGAAAATTGGAAAACGACATCACCCTCACCAATACATCATCTAGCAAGGCCACTGACAAAACAACCTACGTCCTCCACAAAAACGAATACGTTACCCTCCCCCACGACCTCCACATGCGCGACCCCTCATACTTTCAGTCCCCCACCGAATTCAACCCCGAGCGTTTCCTCACCACCGACGACAGTGGCAAAACATCCGTCGACCCCCAAACGATTCGTCCATATGGTGGCGGACCCAGTATGTGCAAAGGACGCGTATATGCCGAGCGAGAATGCTTGGCTTTCGTGGCTGGAATCCTTATGTATTGGGACATCGGACCGGTTGCGAAGAAAGGGGAGAAGAAGGGTAAGTGGACGATTCCTAAGATGATAAAAACTAGTGCCGTGTGTTTGCCGGGTAAAGAAACGAGGGTTAGGATTAAGAGGAGAGAGGGTTAATTTAGGGTCAGTTGGAGGAATTTAGCTTGGGTCTGAAAATGGTAAAGGAAGGATATCGCGGAAGATAGTGACGAGAATTTCAATTTGAATATAGCGATGGATGAGTACCTACTGAATTGTAATCAATAACTATAAATGTAAACCTGCTACTAAGATAGTAACTATCAATTATTAGCTTTCACCTAAGCCTAAACCTTCTCGTTCAGTCAGCGTTCAGGATATCATCCCCATCCCGATGACGAAAGACCACCCACCCCCCTGCCCCCCCTTACAAACATAAACGAGAATCAACCGACAAGACTAGAGGAAGCTCCCGCTACGACAAACATCAAGATATCGTTCAATAGTCAAGTAATACAGTTTTGCCAAAGCCAAATCATTAGTTCCCCCTGATTCTCGAATAGACGGGCAGCCAATAAGGATACAGAGCGGAAAGAAAGAAAGACCCAAAGCTCGAGAGTATACGCACACTATACTTTGTAGACAGGGTGCTAAGATGGTAACGCAACAATCAAGGAGAAGTGGAATGGTGTAAAATGATATAATACGACGGCGACAGCGATGCGGAAATAAGAGAGATGAGAGAAAGAAGAATAATCCAAGCTTCGAGTGATCACAAGAATACACACTACCACCGCCAAGACCAAATAACTTACTAGGCAACCAGTGGACTGAAGAGTTTATTGACAAATTCATTCCATCACACAAGTACACAGTATACGAAACACATTCAAGATCGCATCTGGCATTCTGTTTTCTCGTTAAAGTTTGACCATCTCAATCATCTCATTTCACATTTCTATCAAAAAATTCGCCCCAAAAACCTCATGAATAAAGTAACAACCCACTCATTCCTATTCTTTTTCGTAAAAAAAGCTTTCTTCTAGTGATCTTCATCTCATCTTATCTTTTCATATCATCGTCTAATATCAATCATCTCAGTTGGTCTTATCTTGTTCCCATATCATATCCCTAAAAGACGAAGCCGAAAAAAGAGAACCGAAAGATGTAACTAAAAAATCGCGAGTGAAAAAGCAAGAGTATTAAAGTAACTTCCAACGCCTAATTGGGAGATTGTACACGATTGCACTTCGGAGAAATCTCGTGCTATCAAATCTACAAAAGAAGGAAAAATCTTTTGGTCCCCCTTCTCGCCTCCAAAGATATAAAAATATACGCTAACAATCAAGATTTCATGCTACCCCAAGGTCGTGCAAAAGCTGAAAGGATCCCAAATGCCATATACAAAAGGCTCTCCAAGCCATGGCAGAAAAGATCTTAATTTCGTGGATGTGAAAATGGTACAGAAGAAGGTAGGAAGTTTTGCATTAGATAACGGGATCGTAATTTTTCCCGCAATCAAGCACTGTTCGCCTCCTCATTGTCTGATTGCTCGGCAATATCATCCTGAGTATATTCCATTTTTTCCTGTTGTTGCATGGCTTGCTGAGAAACGATCTCTGCTAGACGCTTTAGCCTTGGAGTTTGGAGCCCTAGGTCTTTGTTAGCAATGATTTTTTTTATTAAAAAAATGGGGGGATAATTACATGAAGGGGTATATGTTTCTAGAGCTGTTATGACACGAGGTTCGGCGATCTCATATGGCCCACTGTCATCCATATCAACGGCAGCCAAGAGTAATACGTCGCTCTTTTCCGTTACGCGAGAAGCGACAGCTTTCATAATTTCTCCATTAATGGGCTGTTCGTAATCAGCGACGAGATATTGGTTGAGCAACTTCTGGATTTGATTAGGTGAGAGCATCCAGCAGATATCTTGAATAATCTCGATATCGTTAAGAGTGGCTTTCTTCAACTGGAGGAGTTTGGTTGCTTGCTGTAATCATGTTAGTATGTGGTCTTACTAGAGAAACACAATGTTACTTACCATCAAGTGCTCTAGCTGCAAAGTTCCCTCCGGCATGTCATGACTCTTACACCATTCCTCAATTCTTGTAATATTGTAGTTGATTTGGAGTCCTCGCTTCCACGACAAAAAGTTTCTTCTCATCAAAAGATCGTTGAATGCGGTGACACCAACCAACCTGAGCAATTCAGTGACTGTTTGGGTTATGATTGAGTCCTCCAAATAGTATGCCTTCATAGCTTTGAAAACGTTGTTGAGTAAGCTAAGCAAGTTGTCCATGCTGAACGCAGGTGCTGAATTCGTCTGAAGCAATTTACCCAAGAATCTATTGCTTTCATTGGTGACGAAACCTGGAAGTGATTGCGATTCGATGATAGCCGGAATAATCATCTTCTGCAACTTCTTCTTCAATACCTTCATCCAAGTGTGATAAATATTGAACTCCAAGCTCTCGAGATCATGCTTGACGATGTCAAGGAGACGGTCATACTCGAAATTGTCCGACTTCTGAGCTTCATACCAATCTTCAGCCAAGAAGACGAAAGAAAGCATCTCGTGAACATTAGACAACCAAAAAGCACCGGGGTTGACAGCCTCATCACCGTCATGTTGCATGACTTCATGTTGAATAGATTGCATGACATTAGCAAGGAATCTTTCCGATTCCTTAACAAACCCATTGTTCCACATCTCTGATGTGACAAGATTGATTAAGTAAGATGGGAAAAGTACTTCCTTGTCTGTTGGTGGTGGAGTAGATGAAGCCACTGGAATTTTAAGGTTCTTGATCAAACCGATTGTGACTTCTTCATTCAAGCCTTCCTCATCGGCCAAAAGATTCTCGAGCTCGAACTCAATGGTGTCAACACTGGGTTGGAATGTGGAGCCAGAGAGTGTTTGTTGATGAAGATTGTTGCTTGTGACCGCCATAGATACTGGCCTTGGGTTGTATGCTGCACTGAAGCGATCTAGCTCGCGTGGCTCAGCTCCTGCACTTCTACGTTTTGGTTTCTTCGAAGAAACCAAGTTGATAAGACCGTTTTGTTGGGCGGCAGCAGCACCATTCATAATCTCACCGTTCGGTGGTAGAATTGGGCCTGCACGCTTTGCCAGGTCAAGTTGATCTTGTAAGTCAACAAGTTGTTGCCTGAGAGTGATCTTCTCAGATTCGTGTAAGGTGCCCTCCTCCTTCGCTTTCTCGAGCTCTAGGTTTGATATTCTAAGAGACTCTCTCAACTCTTTCTCTTCTTCTTGTAGACGTTTAATATTGACAGCTGACTCGTCAAAGTTTGTTTGGAGTTTCGTCATTTCTTCCTCCATAACAGCGAGACGTGCGGCAGTTATTCCAGCTTGGTTGGCTTCAGTTTGCAACTCCTTTACCCGAGCTTCCAGCGCATTGTGTCTGTTCTTCCACGACTTGATCTGGTTTTCGTAGTTCTCCACTTGGGTCACTAAAGTCTTGTTCTCTCTCTTCATCGTGCCAACAGACTGAGTAAGTTCGACGACCTTGTTTTCCAATTTGTAGGAAATTTGCTTGAGATCTCTTGCTTCTTCGCGGATCTTCTTGTACCCACGACGTGCCGATTTACCTCTCCAAAGACTTTGAACAATGACAATCTTTTTCCTGTAGTCTCTCCACTTCTTGAGTGACTGCCTCGATCGCCATGACCGTTGGATGATCATCGCAGCATTTCCAACTCGAGTCTCCATGATTTCCTTTCTGCGCAAGAATCCCTTGGCAGCAGCTTGAGCGAGTATAACGTTATTGCGAATGGCCAGGAACTTCTTGCGTTGTTTCTGACCACGCCAAACTCTTTGGATGGTTGTGGCAGCCTTAACCTTACGATTCTCCTGAGCGTTCTTACGAGCCAGGTGACCTCGAACCGCCGATTGGAAAGTAAGGATCGCACCCCTCGCATCAAGATACTTGCGTCGATAGTACTTCGCTTTCAGATTCTTCTGTATCATAATTGCACAATCGTTAAGTCGGGTTGTTCGCAAGTTCTCCAAAAAGGCTAACATTCCTGCGCGGAAAAAGATCTTTGTCAGACCAAGTTGATATTTGTCCAATCCACCTCCACTGCTAGCACCGAGTGCTTTGGTAAGAATTATATTTGCCATATCACGGATTTCTGATGTCCACGCTGATGATGGTGTCAACATATAGTATCGTAAAGCAAACTCTTCATATGTCCAACGTGTGGGATATCCCGCACAACTGATGCGGACCGTCTCGAGCACACCACAAGCTCGCAATTGACTCAAAACCATGGGACCCTCGAATACCCATGACTCCTTAGCCTCGTTGGGCTTGATGCAACGAATGTAGTGAACATCAGTACCGTTGATAGTGCTCATAAGCTCGATAAGAGATGACTTGAAAATGCCACCTAGAGTAGGTTTGCGATTGACAGCAACACCAATGCGTCTACCAGGTGTAGGTTTTGTTGCAGCCGAGGTTGTTGCCGAGGCAGTATCCTTTTCCCTCACAGCAGAGGCAGCATCCAAAACTGTGCCCAAGAATTTGTTCGAGGAGGCTCTCAAAACTGCCATATGCTCGTCAGGAACAGTGTCACGATTCTTGTCAATAAAGCCGTCCGACTCATAAGTGACATCGATAGCATAATGGCAAACTGTGAATGACGATTTCCCGAAGCGAGGCTTTTTGTAGAATTTGTTCTTGTCGGCGGCGAAATTATGATGTAGCTTCGTGACAAATTGCTCGTCTGATCCCATGGGCAACCTGGATTCTTCGTCAAGGAGTGACAATACACCAAGCTTTCCCTCAATCAGATCAATACAAGGTTGATTGTCCGAAAAGTCAATAAAAGTCCAGTCAATCTCCTCCCTTAGATACTCCTCTTGTTCGAGCTTGAACACGTGAGCGTTGAACTCCTGTTGGAGTTTCTCATTTGCGTAGTTGATACAAAATTGTTCGAAAGAGTTCTTGGCAAAATGCTCGAAACCATAAATATCCAACACACCAATGAAAGTCCTCACACGGGCTAATACTTCATCGGTGGCAAGGGCATGGTTGATACTATCTACGAGCCAATCGAACATACTTGAGTAGATAAACTTTGCAACCGAGTCTCGCACAACAATGGCTTGTTGTTGAGTCAGGTTTGAAGTGATCTTCTCGCCTCTTGTAATCAACTGTTTCTTCACAGTCCACTTTGCGAACTCGACAGGATCCACACCAAGTAAAGCTGTCGCCTTTAACAATGCCGGCTCGTTAGGAGCCAAGACAGAGTCCGTTCTCGAGGCTGTGATCTTTACGTCTCCCAAATGCAGCAATGCTGCAAGCAATTTAAAGATATCCGCTTGCTGACCAGCATCCACTCCAATGGTTGCCAAAGATCCCTTGAGCGCTTCGAATTCTGCTTTATCATCAACACCGTCGATAGTTGGCGAGCTTCCTTGGTTAAGGTAATCAAACTGCTCTACGGGCTTCAAATCGAGTTCCCTTGCCTCGCTTTCCGATGCCCCTGCTACTAACTGATAGAAAACGTGGTAATTTCGCTCCTTGAGCGGTTGGAACACTAATCTCGAACGCTCTAACAAGTAGGTCCGGATTTTTGCTCCAATGATGTTCGTCTTGTCGTCGAACATAATCTCAATATATTTTCCAAATCGAGATGAATTGTCATTACGTGTGGTCTTGGCGTTACCGAAAGCTTCCATAATAGGATTCGTGGCCAAAATTCGTTCTTCGGTTTCACTCATTTGCTCTGTACCCCGCTTCGTCCTTGTCCCCGGCTGATCTGGGGATTCTCTAGTAGCAAAATATCGCATAATGTATTTGGCACTGACAGTCTTTCCGGCTCCAGATTCTCCTGATACCACTATTGTCTGATTCTTTTGACTCCGTAACATGTCCCTAAAAATTGTTAGCAAGTCACCGGGTTTTGAATAACAATTACATACGCAAACGCTTCTTCTGCAATGGCAAATAAATGCGGAGCTTGAGTAGCTCTTTGCCTTCCCGCATACACCTGTACCATGCCAGGCACGTATAAAGAATCAACTCGTGCAAAGGGATTCGTTGCTATCAGCACAATACCACTGTATGTGTATATTTCTTTCTGCAAGTATCGTAATCGAATAGCCTGTAAGACTGCACCGCATAGTCAGTTGGAGGAAACGGAACAAAATGTGTTTGATGACATACCAGCAGGCTCGTTGAGATGGGAAAGATTCGTTAGATCATCACTAGCTTCGAGCATTGTTGGATTCATGAGAGGGGGTAGAGAGGCATTATTTGCTTGTGTCAACGCTTCTTCTGTGGCTTCTACAGACTTGGTCTGCCGTGAAAGATAAAGGTCAGCACAATTCGGGAGGAAGGGGAGAGAAACAAATATGTGAGGTTTCTCTCCAGTTACAGGATAACAAACCTCTCCATTTTCGAGTTGAAAGACAAGTGTGTACTTGTCTCCATTCAAAGCTTTCGAGACCAATTCCGAAGCAACCCATCCTTCAGTAGTATCCGGCTGCCATGCCTTCGTACCAATCTCATAATTATGCGCCATGATGGCGGTGTTGATTATCGAGAACCTGCCTGCCCTCGAACTGCTTCAAATATAATAATAATGGGGACGTGGTTCTTCCAGTATCGGTCTGCATGAAATAAACCACCCTAATTGTAATGGTGTTGATCAAGTAAGTAGCGAGATAGGTGTTGAAGATATGCCACCGCAAATGACTTGTCTTCTTTTTCTTTGTAAAATAAGTACAAGATGCATTCGAAGATGGTAAGGAGTTGAGAGCCACGGTATTTGGGATTTAGGATGCTTGTCGCGAGCTCAGTCGTCAACAGGGATATGTCTTGGCGACGCTAAATATTTTAGTCATAAAGTTCACCAGATTCCCGGTGACCCCTATTTTCGTGAATGTGGGACAAAGGCAAAGGGTATGATGGGACTCCAGAAAAGAGCAGATCTGAAGGAAGCGAGCGTGCGTGCTGTACGGAGTAGGAAGTCCTGATTTTCTTTCCTCCTTTCTTGATGCTACAAGTGTTATTTAGGTATATCATCCAAATTAAAATTGAGTTTATTCCCTTGTCATGCAATCGGGCGAATCCAACAACATCAACATCTCTTTTCTATTTGACGAATCATGCAAGACAGAATAATAACGAGTGTTATCGGTATCTCACCGCTTCGAATCACTTCAAAATGGTAACGTGTAAATTCAATCCACAGTATTAAATAAGCACTCGAACCAAACACAGATACAGCTGCTGTTTTCTGTAAGTTTTAAGTTATCTACTATATACCTAGGTACCTACAAATGTATGCATGAAGTCGGTGTTTTCTATTTCACCATTGTTGCCCATCGTTCAAGCCACATTGGCCATGTCAAATTATCTCCCGGCTTAAAGTTGGGGAAATATGGTTGGGGAGACACAGCATAGAGTTTTATGAAAGGTTGCCTAGTTATTCAAGCAGAAGTCAGTAATACTCGACCATATACTTGTGATTTACTTGTCTACATCATGAATTTGTATGACAATGCTATAGATACCTGGTAGAAAGGCTAAATTCTAGGTCCAGATATTATATCTTTCGCGTGGAAATATAGTGTAGGGCTTAGCCTACCAATAAAGTTTTCTAGAAATCTTGGATCCTAACCCTGCACTATCGGTTGTCGAATATCAAATTGATTCATTGCAGATTTGAAATCTTAACGCAGCAAAAAATCTTTCGAAGTAGATGCAGCGTTAGAGTAAAAAGCGTCTTGGAGTTCTGTAAGGAGTTCCGGAAACTTGGCTGAATAGATATATGTGCTAGAAGATAAAATCGTAGTTGGCGATTCCAGCTACCACTTCCTACATCTCGATTTTTAGCAGAGGATCTAATAGAACCCAGCACAGTGCTAGGGAGAATCATAACCTTCGAGGCCCATCAAAGTGCCATATGAGAAATCTTGAATACACCAGGCACCACGATCTGAAAGAACCCAGTTAGATCGTATTTCTCACTTGTTGCCTTCAATTTCTTCATATTTCTTGCAGTACCCTTTAAGAATCTTCGTATTGATGAGACAGATGAGGAACAGCTCATCTGATGCGTCCACCTTCAGAAAGTTCCCCCCATGAGACCGCGAGACTGCGTTGGTGACTGTTTGAGAAACAAGATTGAACATCAAGCCCTCAACGGTCTCTAGCCTTCTGTAAAACTTAGAAGTGAGTCAATTTGTAGTGTGTTTGTGCCTAGCCGTAGTTAAATGTCGACAAATGGTTTAGGTGATAGGGGATTGACTTTTGGTTAGTACAAGTTTGAAATGCAAACTTCTTCCATGCTGGAAATAAAACTCGGTGCTGCAATGAATGATGCGTTTTCATTCTCCGGAGTGCCAGCAGACCGGGATTGACCACTGGCGAAGCCCTTCCTTCAAAAATCTAATTGTTCCATTTCAACTCAGAGAATTAAAAGTTCAAATAGCACTATAACTGGAAACTATTCAAGGATCTGTTTAATTCTCTTAGCTCTTATAATTTCACTTGTGGTTGATTTGTCATGGAATTTATTATGTTGATCAATTTTGCCCTCCTTTTTCTCCTACGTATAGCATGGGTAAGCAGTGTGTATGACAAGTCCGTCCCTAGGGAACAGAGGGGGTTGATGCTAGTCAAGGGGTCAAGATAAACTTCAATGAAAGATCAAAACTCAAAAAGGAATTCAGGGGTTGATTGTTTCGATATAAGTCGTTTGCACACTTGAATGGATATGTGTGATGGATAGAGTTATAATCAGGGCATTTGAAATATAAGGATAGCTTGCAAGATATCTCCCGAAGAAAGAAACCCTTTGAATGTAGACAGGACGCCGTGTATATAGATAGATTGTCGAAATCTGGTATCCTATGTACAAAATACGTAAATTGCACACCAAATGAGATCCCTTGCATTGGACCTGAAGGATCACTTAATTGAGCAATCCCAGTTAGATGATGCTGAAGAATGTTTAGATGTTGGGATGCTTTTGATATGAGGAGTTTGACATCTCTACCTATTGTGCTTGACTCCTAGATTGACATTGAAGGTTCAAAGGAATAATGTTTCAGAAAGAATGGCAATTAGAACCTGGGACCTGTTACAGTATAAATCATTTCGCGTGGGGTGTAATCCACCCATATATTTTGTTTCAATGAAAAGGCTGAAGTCTGGGAAGAGAACCCTGCAAAATTTCATTTTCCGTCTGTTTTGTTGACGCGGGGTAAAATCATTCAACTTGATGAGAACTACCTACCTAGTAGGTACCAATTCACATGTTCAACAGAATTCAAATGACCGACATGATGTGTATACTAGGTATGCAGGATGTTGCTTTAACAACCTCATTCTTTTTGTTCTTCTCACAAATGCAGAAACTAATATGGACTTGAATGGAATCGTGATTGTCATTTGACTTTTCCTAAGAAGAAATCTACATACTCCATAGGGATTACCAGTGGAGAATAGAGATCAAAAAATACGGAAGGGATGTAAGCTTCTTAAGCAATTAGGCTATTCTAATAGAAGCGAGTAAAATACCGGATCAAAAATGCAGTTTGGGAAAAACACCTATGCAATTGCGGACTATGCTTCCTCAACGACTTTGTGTGCCAAAAGCACTTCGGAGGTACTCTTAGGCCAAGAATGTCGTTCCTTTGGGAAGATAGTCGGGGAGTGAAAATGTCGATAACCCTCAAAATTTCATCTAACTTTGCTTACACTCAGCAGCCTCTTGCTTGGGCTTTGCAGCATCATCCTAATTCCAGTTAGTTTATGTAGGTAAAATGGGTGTCTGACAACTTACGTCCTCATCCGACTCATCTTCATCATCATCACGGTCTTCACTCATATCTTCCTCGTCGTCTTCATCCTCAAAATCGCCTTCCTCCAAATCGTCATCTAATTCCTCGAATTGAAGGGCCTCACCAGTGAACCAATCGATTGCACGTGGAATAAGCTTCTCCTTGATATCCTCACCCAACTGGTAATCAAGCTCAAGGCGCTCCTCGATATCCGAAGCCAAGTCATCATCGTCCTCGTCGGTGGGTGCCTTAGGTGGGGAAAAGAAGTTGAAGAAGGACTCTGTTGGGACTGTCTTCTTAACAACACGGGTTTGCTTTGTGTCTGAAGTGATGATTAGTAAAATTCTAGCATGACCAAGTTGTAACAAACTTACTCTTGTTGCGTTGCTTCTTGCTCTCAACTCGGACAGTCAAATCTTTGCCTTCCTTCCAGTTGATTTTGTCACCCTCAGCATGGTCATAGATGAAGTCTCCACCGTAGCCACTCTCGTTTTGGTAGAAGTAAGTCTTGGTGATTGTCTTGTTAGTGAAGAATTCGTTGTCGGCAAATTGGAAAATCAAACGGAAACCAGGTTTGTCAAGGTATTCCATTTGAATGTCGGTCAAGTCCTTGAGAGCAGCCTCATCTCTATCTGTGATCATCTCGGCAAGCGAAACTTGGTTCTTCATGGCGGAAAGCCAGAATTCTGGGATACCGGAGATCTTCTCGGCGGACTCATCGACCTTTTCGGCTTGTTCTGCGTCGTGCTCTTCATCGTCCTCCTCACCCGATTTAATCTCCTCCTCGGTAGGCTCAACTTCACCGTTAACGATCTTAGCTCTCTTCTGGTAGAGAGGAGTGAACTTGGCGAAGTACTTCTTCTCAAGCTCCAATACCTCTTCTTGGAATTCGGCCTCTAACTTCGAATGTTCTTTCTGAACGCCCTTGAGGCCGGCAACGCGACGACGGACGGGTGTAGGGAGGGATTCGACATAACCAGATGAACGGCCAACAAGGGAGCCAAGCTTTCCTTGAATCATTTCGACAAGTTTTGGGTTTTGTGCGAAAATGGAGGCTGCTGTAGCGCGGTCGAACTCCTCTGCAGGATGAATGTCAGTCATTGGCTTAAAAACTCGGTGTAGGACGGAGTAACAACGTACCTTCCTTAATCGTGCCAACACCAGGTTGCTGAGCATGCGATGAAATAGGAGCGTTGTTCATTGGGGTATTTTGAGGAGTACTGAGAATTAAAATGTCAGTATTGTAAATGGAATTTTTTGAAGTATTCGGAATGTCTATTTTGAAACTTACGGGGCGGTTTGGGGGTTGTTTTTCTTTGGAATATCCGACATCTTTTCGATTCTTTCAAGTTATTTGAGTAAGTTGATAAAAGAAAGGAAGGTATCTCTTAGGGTGTTAGAGATTTTGTCTCGTGGCGATGTTCTTAAGAAGAAAAGTTCTTGAGGTGGAGGTTGAGAAGTTGTTGGATCTTAGCGTCCAAGATTTATTTAGATTGTGATTGCGGGCTACCACGACTTCTGAAATAACCGATAAGGCGGGGCGAAAATAATGAACCTGAGGTTGAGGTTGAGATGACCAATTACCAGTCAAAATACGCTGAACTACCAAGGCACCTCGCTTGCACCTAGGTAATTTGATAGCGGGAGTCTAGTTAATAGTGAGTAAGGCTTTCCTAGTACTGCTTGTTGAATCGCGCCGCGCTACGAAATTATAACTTTTTCCAAGCTTCTA